CAGTACATTTGGTGTTTATATATTTCAATTTGTTACTGTTGTGTCAGCGAATTCATTCCTGCTATGTAGCCCAGGCTAACTTCAAACTTGGCTGTTGTAGTCCAGGCTGGCCTCAAACTTAGGCAACTCCTGCCTCAGCTTTCCTAATACTTACATTATACAATGTGCACTGTCATGTGTGGTCGTCTGCTTCTTATAGTCAGTTCTCATGCACATCTGCTGTGCACAACTACTGATAGAAAATCTGTCACTGAATTAGATTTGCCTTCTGGGGAACTCATACACATGTCCTTATTACAAGTGGCCTCTTCTCAGCACACAATTTTGATATTCTTCATGTTTTTCTTTTTTGTTGCTGACTGACTCCCTTTCCCATTTTTCATGATTTTCTAATAAAAAAATAAAAGACTCGGGACAGCTTGGTAATGTGGTGTGCTGAAAGAAAATGGCCCCCATAGGGAGTGGCACTATTAGGAGATTTGACCTGGTTGGAGGAAGTGTGTCACCGTGGAGGTGGGCTTTGAGGTCTTCTTTGCTCAAGCTTCACTCAGTGAGAGTGTTCTGTTCTGTTGTTTGAAAGATGTAGCTCCTTCTCCAGCACCATGTCTGCCTGCATGCTGCCACGTTACACTATGATGATAATGGACTAAAGCTCTGAAACTGTAAGCCACCCAATTAAATGTTTCCTTTTATAAGAGTTGCTATGGTCATGGTGTCTCTTCACAGCAATAGAAACCCTAAACTAAGCCAGGTAGTAAAATTTATTGTACTTTCTTATGTCCTCTACCTTTTTAGTCCAGTTTAGGGAATAATCTTAGTGATGTTCATTTTATGTACAACCTAATGCCAGTGTGTTTGCTGCTATTCTACCTTATTTTCACTTTAGTTTCTGTGTAGTAAGCAAAAGTGGGAAGTGCTCTGATTGTATGTGTATATGCTAGCATGAAATTCCATAATGTTTTTTTTCTCCCCATGCAGGAATTTGGTAAGCTTGACTGACACTTTGTAGATTTGTCCCCCACCCTTGATCAAGAGCCTAGTTGAGTGTTCTGATAAAATTTATTTTTACCTACTTTCATGGGAAAGACTAAAATTGTAGAATTAAAGTCATAGGAGAATATCAGAAATCAAATTCTAACAGATTTGTAAAATGTAATGAGATTAATAACAACTACTTAGATCAAGAATACAAGGGAATTTATGATGACCTTGAGAGATATTTAAGTCTAAACCAGAAATAACGATAAACATTGTCTTCCCTGACCTCATTCTTGCCAGGTCCCAAGTCCATGTAAAGCTGGGACTTGTACTGCTGGAGTTCTCCCTTCTCGAACATTTGCATGTCTGGTAGTGTGCTCGTACTGTTCTTGAGTTTTCTGTTTCAGAAACTGTAGATTGACTTCTTGCCATATAGGGAGCTCGATTTAGTCCTTCCCTCTTCTGACCATCACACCTTCCTCCTTCCTCTTCTCTAAAAACAATAGATATTCCTTTTTTGGTTAAGCTATCTGTGTCTCTTTATTGTAGTTATGTAAATAGTCACATCTGAGCCATTGCATGGCTGTGTTTCCATGTGCAGTTTGTTGCCACCATTGTTCTCCCTGGGGTGATGAGGATGGCCCTGTAGCCTTCTTCTGTGTAGGAAATCCCCCTTTGCCCATTTCATCTGTGTTCTTGTATAGATGGAGCAGCATTTCTCAGAAGTTTGCTGATTCTGTCCATGCAGTGTTTATTTTGTGAGCGTTTGCATGTCTGAAAATGTCAACATTCTTTCTTCATGTTCAATTGATAGCTTTTCTGGGAAGTAATTCTCTCTCAGATTCTGAAGAGAGAGTGTCCTTTTGTCTAATTCACCAACTTTTGTATAGGCCCTGATGTATTCTTTCAAAAGTTTTTAGATCTTCATTTTGTACCCACCACTTCTTGCTCTCACTTTCTTGGCTGTCTGTCTATCGCTCTTTCCCTCTCATTTTCTAGCTCTTTCCTCCTGTCCCCTTCCCTTTCTTGTGTCACTCCCTTCTCCCTCTTCCTCTAAGAAGGGTCTCAAAGAAGGCCAGACTGCCATCAAGTTCTTGGTCCTCTTGACACAGCCTCTTCCCATTCTGTTGTCTTCACTACTTCGTTTGCTTTTTCAGTTTGAGAAATAGTTTGCACTAAGAATTTTTATTTGTTAAAATTTCATTAATATTTTTCTCTGATATATTATGAAAATAATTTTCCTTTCCTTCAGGATTCTTCTTTAGTAACTATTGAATTCCAGATCAATCTTCTAATTTTTAAAAATCTTGTACATGCACACGCACCCACACACTTGGAACATCTTAACTTTTTTATTCATTATCAATTTTACATCATTTTTTAAATTTCTAAGAGTTTTTCATTTTCTAAAATTGTCATGTGCTGTTTTGTTTCTTTGATGTAATAGCTTTTCTTATTTTTCAATAAGTATGTTAACTATAGTTAAAAAAACTGTTTTCTGTATATTTTTTCTTTTACTAGTCCCTTCTTTTCATTTTGATGCTTGTCAATCCTTTCCTTTTTTAATATTTAATTAAACTACTGTTCAGTTCATGCCTTATGTTTATGCTCAAAAGACTTGACTTGTCAGTCCTTCCTGTGGATTTTCCTTGGTTGTCTGATGATTCTTGGCTGCCATTTGTATGCAAGGGAGCTGATTGGAAGCTTAGAGCAAATTGAGGGCCTGTTATCTGTGATGAGTAGGACTCTCAGTTTCTTCAGTGAAAAGTCAGATGCCTTTAAACTTGAACCAGATCACTTTCCCAGAGGGAATGCCCTTCCTTTCCCTGGTTGGTGCTGAGAGGGAAGCTGTCAGTGTTATTGGAGTTGAATCATTGACAGTGCTAAGAGCCTAGGGGCCCTAAGGATCATGCTGGTTAATAGACTCCCCTTTGACTACATCCTCTTGTTTTTCTTTGGCACTTCTCACCCTGCCTTCAGCCATACCTACCATTCCTTGACCCTTATTCTTTCCAATTGTCCAGATTTGGCAATTGCTGGCAGAAGGACTCACCTGCCCATGTGGCTTGATGCTGGTCCTCAAGATATCCCTGTGGGGAGTCTGAATTTTTTTTTTTTTTTTTTTTTTTGGTTTTTTTGAGACAGGGTTTCTCTGTGTAGTTTTGCACCTTTCCTGGAACTCACTCTGTAGTCCAGACTGACCTCGAACTCACAGAGATCCGCCTGGCTCTGCCTCCCGAGTGCTGGGATTAAAGGCGTGCACCACCACCGCCCGGCGCGAGTCTGAATTCTTTAGTTAGGCTTTCCATGTTCTGCTGCTGCCCTTCAGTGCAGCCAGACCCACTCCTGGCTGAGGCACTCAGGCTTCTATGGTCTGCTAACTTCCACCATTCACCTTCTGGCTAGCTTCTAGAACTGTACTGTGATTTTCTGTTTGCTCTTCCCTCCTCTGTTCTTTTTTTCTTGATGTCATGTTTATAAAGAATCTCTTTGCTTTTACCATGGTGGAATTGCAAGAAGCAATGGTGAGAACTAGAACCATCTCTGTCAGATTTTCTCTACTTCCTCCAAGGAGTCATACCACCATGCTTCTCAAAGGACATCACAGATTCCTCTTATCCATGACTACTTTCTTTACATGAGAGTTCTATAGAAAGCTGACTTAGATGTTATGAAATTATAAAACCAGATTAATTGTTTTCTTAAGAGACCTTCTGGCCCTAACAGACTATCTTCACCTTTTCCATGCATGTTAGACAAATATTGAAATTTCATTTTACAGTAATCAAAAGCACAGTCTCAATAGTATGTTCACCCTCAATATTCTCATTGAAGAGGAATACAGGTTTTCAGGAGAAACAGACACACAGACTCTCTAGGGTGATGGGTATGCCTCATGCTGTTGGCAGTTTGGATCATGTAGGTAGGTATACATGGCTGTCAGGATGCACCAAGTCTGTACTGGAGTTGCAGTCACCTTAGGGGAAATAGAGACAAAACTAAACAAATGTGAGCTCTAAATAGAAGCATATGCTAGCACTGTCAACACTGTTTGAAAGCAGTTATGTGATTTGTAGATGATAATGAATTTAAAAATCACCCCCCCCACAAAAAAAAAACAACAAACCAAGCATGGCAGCACATGCTAAAGTCCTAGTGCTTGGGAGAAGGAGGCAGTAATATCACCAGGTCAAACCGGTGGGTTTGAGCCAGCTTGAGCTACATGAGACCTTATCATTTTTTAAAAATTCCTTTTCCATATTTTAAACATTGAAAATTTTATAGGATTGAAAATAGAAACTTAGTTTTATGATGTGATTGTGATTACTGTCCATCTCCCAATCTCTTTTATCCCAAAACTTCTCTACTTTTAATTAAATTTTGCATGTGCAGCAGTTAGAATGTACCGTTATACAGAATGCTGGAGATTGTCTATTTAATATCAAATTTATTAAGTGATGCTTAAAATGGGAGGCAAAAAATCTGTCATGTGTCTTTGAGATTATCTCTCCATGTGTTTATTTTTTTTCAGTGTTGGGCCTAGTTTTATTATGGTCATTTGGGAAGAGCACTGAGATCCTTGGTCATAAACTTTGGCTGGAGTTCTAGAGCTGTAAGCATGGGCCATGTGGTCTTCAGCTGCAGGGGAATTGGGGACGGAATACTAGAGCTGGACTCTCATACTGATCATTCCTCTATTTAGGTGGATTCACATTAATAAGGTACTTCATATTTCCAGAGTGCCTAATATCCATTGTAATTATTTCTAGATTCACTCAAAGGTATGCTAGAAGTAGTTTCCTCATTTCATGGGAGAAAAAGTAGAAACACAGAGAGGTAGTGATGCACCCAAGTGACCAGAATCAGGATTAGAATTTAGCAGGGGGACCAACTAAAGGGAATAAGTGGGAGGGAATTAGGAACTGTTACATACACAGGACCAATAGGGAATACTAACCAGGTTAGTGGTTTAGGCTGGCAAGATTTTGAATTGACTGAAGATCAAATATGTTTTGTTGTAGGTAAAAGAGAATCTACTTTCCTGCAAGATGCTGTTGCACTGCAAACGGGATGAACTTCGTAAACTATGGATTGAAGGAATTGAGCATAAGCACGTCCTGAACCTGCTGGATGAAATTGAGAACATAAAGCAAGTGCCTCAAAAACTGGAACAGTGCATGGCCAGCAAGCACTACCTTAGTGCCACGGACATGCTGGTAAGAGAGCCTGTGCCAAGATAGCAAAGTTCTCTTCTCTCTGCATATAGTATGATACAAACAGCTCTTGGAATTCTCAAGCCCTTGAAGGGGAACCCTAGCTAGTTCTCTTCCTATATAGTGTTTGAAAAGTTAGATGATTATTATTTATATATTTTCTGCTCTTTGAACCAAGGCAAAAAATGTAGCGGAAAGGAATCAGTACGGAAATCCTGTTGAAATGATAATAAGAGTGTAGCTAGAGTTTTCCTGCCTGGCCCACAGTCAGGACAAATCTCTCTCACCTGCCAGTCCCTCACCTGCCAGTCCCACAGACGCTCAGACCCGACCAAGTAAACACAGAGACTTATATTGCTTACAAACTGTATGGCCGTGGCAGGCTTCTTGCTAACTGTTCGTACAGCTTAAATTAATCCATTTCTATAAATCTATACTTTGCCACGTGGCTCATGGCTTACCGGCATCTTCACATGCTGTTTGTCATCGTGGCGGCTGGCAGTGTCTCTCTGATTCAGCCTTCCACTTCCCAGGTTTATTCTCCTCCTTGTCCCACCTACACTTCCTGCCTAGCCAATGGCCAATCAGTGCTTTATTTATTGACTAATTAGCAACACATTTGCCATACAGAACATCCCACAGCACTTCCCCCTTTTTTTTTCAAAAAGGAAGGTTTTTAACATTAACAAAGTAAAATTACATATAATTTGGGAATTTGGGCATAGCTTCTCTTACTACTTCCTGCTGGAGGGGGGCGCTGTATCTTATGGGGACACAAAGAAAATTTTAGGATTATGGAATAGTCCATGAGGTTGTATCGTCTGAGCCAGATGCCTTCAAACCATTCTGGATGTTGGATCATCTGGGCCGTGGTGTCATTGGAGACCTTTCAGGGGGTCTTGGCTGGTCAAACCTGATGTATCTTAATCTTGAACAAATCCATAGCCTCTGGCTTTCTGTGGAAACAAAAGAGACTCTTTTCCAAAGCAACATATCCTTATATCCAAATTTTGAAGTCAAGGTATCTTTAAAATATACATTTTGGTTTAACTCAACATCTTTTACGATCAAATGTTTTTCTGCAGTTAAAAATCCCAAAGACAACACAATCCAGATTCCCTGTGTAATACTCATCTTTACGTGGCTTATTTTTTATATTAATTTTACTGTCTCTTTAAAGACTTTATTTTTTAAAACTATGTATTTGTTTATATAACTTTATATATTACCTTTTTTGTCTCTTTCAAGCCTACGTATATTTTACACACATTGTAAACTATTACATCTGAATCTGTCTTATTGTGAATCTATTGCTTTAAACTGCAGCAGCTGTGGCTGCTGGCTCCACCCACCTCAGCTTCCCAGCGTGGCGGTGGTTTACCACGAGCTCTGGGAGCTATCGTGGGTCTATGCTTTTATCCAAGCAGCGTGTAGTCCAGAAACCTCTTTTTTTGTTTTGTACTAGCAAAGGCTAAATCCACCATGCAGCTTATTGTGCCACTTGCAGAGGCCTCATTCCCACCATACTGCAGGTCGAGCAGGCACACCAGGAACCCACAAGTAGCTCAAACCGGCAGCTGCTGCTCATTTGAGAGAGACAATTAGGAAGCTGTTTTTATCTCCGTTTTAGAATCTTTTTTTCTCAGTTTTTAAGAGGAAACTCTTGCCACCACGTTGGATGCCATAAGAGATTGTTTTTTTAGCTTCAGAGGAAGATCATGAATCTCATTTTAGAGGATGTAATCTATGTGACAGAGACCTGAAGATTTGTAAAGTTAGGTGTTCTCTAAAGGTTTTGAAGTCATTTTGGGATTGGTTATAGCTTTGTTTTGTTCCTTTCACCTGGTAGGAAAGAAAATGACTTCTTTGATACTAATTTTAGAAGTAACTTTACAGAGCTGGAGTGCCCTGTGACCTGGCCTTTACTGTTTCAGTCCATGGTGTTCTGATACTTTTTGAATTAATGGAAGTTCCTAGAGGGTGCAATCTGTGGTGAATGTCAAAGCCAGACTTTGCTCCCTCTTGGTCCTGACTTTTCCAGGGCAGGTGGCTTTTCTGGATGGCTGTCCTGTCTTCTTGCTCTTGTACACAGATCCATATGCACTTTGATCTCTGTAGATGTCCACAGAAGCTCTCAACAGCAGCTGTGCTAGATTTGAAGTTTTCTATTTTCTACCATGGGGGCAAGTTCTTTTTTTTGTTTTATAAATTACATTCATGAAAACACTGGTGGACTTGGTGTGGACACTTATGAAATAATTCATTCACTTCTATTAAGAATTTTGCTGGAAGTTTGCTGTAAGGAGTATTAAGGAATTTGGTTACCAAAGGGTGAGAAGTAGCGTAGTATTTTATCACATATTGGTTATAAATCAACCGAATCGTCATTTTTAACAGTACAAGGAGTATTGTTGTAGTAAAGGAGTCTTGGTGTGGTGGAAGAATTAGTTTTTTTTGTTTGTTTTTTGTTTTCTTGTTTTGCTTTCTGTGTGTGGTTATTGGTGCTTTTGTTTTTTTGGTATTTGTCATTGAATGTAGGGTGTTACACATGATTGGTAAGCATTCTGCCCTCTACTACTAATCTGTGTCTTCAGCCCTTTTTCTATTTCATTTTTCTCCCCTAAGACAGGGTTTCTCTGTGTAGCCCTAGCTGTCCTGGAACTCACTCTGTAGACCCAGGCTGCCTTTTACCTCACAGAGATCTGTCTGCCTCTGTCTCCTGAGTGCTGGGATTAAAGGCCTGCACCACCATGCCTGGCATTTATTCCAGTTTTTTGAGACAGGGTCTTACTCACTTGTCAAGGCTGTCTCAGACTCCTTCTGGAGCCTGAGTGGGCCTTGGATTTGTAGTCTTCTTGTTTTAGCCTTGTGATCAGCCAGGATCACAGCCATGCACAGCCAGGCCCAGCTTATTTACAACATCTTACCAGAGTGACATCTTAGTTCATAACCACTGGGCTGTCCAACAGATAAAAATTACTTTTCAGTGTTAGTGTTGATTTAGGTATATTTTTGCTGAATTATCAAGATTTAGCAACTTGAATAGATAAGCTTATATGTGTTTGTGGAACATAATACCCAGCTGCTTTTCTTATTGAGTCACTGTTTTGCTATGCATCTGCTCTTGATTAAATGGCATGTATTAGAATGGATTGGTAGGGTTTATTTAGGTTAGTTATGTTCATTTGAGGATTTCAAAATATTCTTTTATAGCCCTATTACTTATGGGCTAATTTATTTATTTAAAGGCTTAAATGAGTACCGCCCTTTCCTTAACTAATTTTTGCTCAGATCTTTCTTAATTAAATAACTTCTTCAAATTCTTTATTATAAGTTACTGAAATTAAACTATAGTTTTCCCTTGATGTAACAAACACCTGAGATAAATCAGCCCATGAGAAGGATCAGGTTTATTTTGGTTTATAGTTTAAGAGGTTTCAGTTCATGGTTGCTTGGACAATGCAATTCACCATCTTGCGAGCATGTGGCAGAGGAGGTTACTCACTTCATAGAGACCAGGAAGCAAAAAGAGAGACTGGAAGGGACTGGGGTCCTTTAAAGTTATGCCTCCAATGGCCTAACTTCCATAGGGTACTACCTCCTCAAGGTTCCACCCTCTCTCAATAGTGCTGCAGACTGGGGACCACACTCTAACACATGGCTCTTTGGGCAACATTATGGTAAAAAAAAACTGGACTCATGTAAACAATCTGTTAAAAGGGCAGAGGCATACTTGGAAAGCCACCTCTGTGTTCTGTCTGCGTGTCTTCATTGTTCTTCTCTAGACTGGTGTCAACTTGACACAAACATGGAGTGACCTGTAAGAGAGAACTGCAAATGAAGAATGGCTTGATCAGGTTGGCCTGTGTTTATGTGTATGAGGCATATTCTTAATTGCTATTTGATGTAGGTGGGCCTGTTCCGCTGTGAGCAGTATCTTTCCTAGGAAGTTGAAATTGAGGTGTGTATGAAAGGTAGCTGAGCATGTTAGAGGGAGCTAGCCACTGAGAAGCAGTGTGTTAGCAATCTTGTCTTCATATCAGTGAACATGTGCCTATTCATTTATGTCTTTTGATAATATTTAGCAATATATTCCTTACAAATATTGCATCTATTCCATTGAATTTAATGTATCACTTATGTTCTGAGACTTTAAAAATAATAGCTTTTTATTAATTATAGTGACTAGTTATTTGCTGTATATAAAGATAAGGTACATATCTCTTTTTAACATTTATCATTTAAAAATATCTTTTGTTTTTTGAAATTAAAGTAAATTATATCGTGTGCCCCTTTCCCTTTTCTCCCTCTAACCCTTCCCATATATGTGTGTGTGTGTGTGTGTGTGTGTGTGTGTGTGTGTGTATTCCTAAGTATATCAGTACAATATTTATTTATTTATTTATTTTGGTTTTTCGAGACAGGGTTTCTCTGTGTAGCTTTGGTGCCTGTCCTGGATCTCGCTCTGTATACCAGGCTGGCCTCGAACTCACAGAGATCCGCCTGGCTTTGTGTCCCAAGTGCTGGGATTAAAGGTGTGCGCCACCACTGTCCAGCTTGCTCAATCTTTATAATGTTACTTGTATGCATATGATTTCAGGGCTGACCACTTGTTACGGGATAACCAAATTGGGGGCTTTTCCCTGGGAAGGATTACTTCTCCCGCTGTCCATATTCCTTTGTTGCCTAGGGTTAAGGACCCTGTGAGAGTTCTCCCTTCTGTTAGCATGTCTGTTGGAGTCATCTTTCTTTAGGTCTTAGTTAGGCAGCTGCCTTGGTGAGACTTCTTGGGTGTATCTTCTCTGACATTTCTAGGAGATCCAATCTCACAGCAAACTTCCCTGTTTCTCTGGCTCTTATAATCTTTCTTCCCCCTTGTACTATGATCCCTGAGCCTTAGGTACAGAAATTGTATTGCAGATGTATCAGTTGGGACTGGGCTCCACATAGTTTTCTGCACTTTGACAGGTTGCAGTTTTCTATAAAGGTCTCAATTTATTTTT